GCCTGGCCGGGGCTTCGGGAATTCCGGGGCTTCTCTGGGAATGCTGAACCGAGCTGGGAATTCCGGGGGTTCCCTGGGAATGTGGAACTGAGCCGGGAATTGCGGGGGTCCTGGGGGTTCCCTGGGAATGCTGAGCCTGTCCAGGGTCCCGGGAATTCCCTGGGAATGCTGAACCGAGCCGGTAATTCCAGGGTTTCCCTGGGAATGCTGAGCCTGTCCTGGGGGTTGGGAATTCCAGGAATTCCGGGTGTTCCCTGGGAATTCTGAGCCCATCCTGAGGGTCCCAGGGGTTCCCTGGGAATGCTGAGCCTGTCCTGGGAGTCAGGAATTCCTGGGGGGAATTCTGACCCAACCCTGGCCTTCCCATCCCATAACTCCCACCCCATCCCGAGATTCCTGAGGGAATTCCAGCCCCATCCCGGGGTCTGACCCCACCCCATTCCCACGGAATTCCCACGGAATTCCCACAAAATTCCCACGGAATTCCCATTTTCCCAGTACTGCGACCCCGAGGAGCCGCTGGGCGACGACGACTTCGACGATTACGCCAAGGAGCTGTCGCAGTACCGGCGCAGCAAGGAGCGCGGCCGCGGTGAGCGGGGACTGCCCAGACCTGGCCTAAACCTGGGCTAAACCTGGCCTAAACCCGGCCCAAACCCGGCCCAAACCCGGCCTAAACCCGGCCCAAACCCGGCCCAAACCCGGCCTAAACCTGCCCCAAATCCCAGCCCAAATCCCAGCCCTGGAGCACGGCCGCGGTGAGCGGGGACTGCCTAGACCCGGCCTAAACCTGGCCCAAATCCCAACCCAAACCTGGGCTAAACCTGGCCTAAACCCGGCCCAAACCCGGCCCAAACCCGGCCTAAACCTGCCCCAAATCCCAGCCCAAATCCCAGCCCTGGAGCACGGCCGCGGTGAGCGGGGACTGCCTAGACCCGGCCTAAACCTGGCCCAAATCCCAACCCAAACCTGGGCTAAACCTGGCCTAAACCCGGCCCAAACCCGGCCCAAACCCGGCCTAAACCTGCCCCAAATCCCAGCCCAAATCCCAGCCCTGGAGCACGGCCGCGGTGAGCGGGGACTGCCTAGACCCGGCCTAAACCTGGCCCAAATCCCAACCCAAACCTGGGCTAAACCTGGCCTAAACCCGGCCTAAATCCAGCCTAAAGCTGGTCTAAACCTGGGCTAAACCTGGCCTAAACCCGGCCTAAATCCAGCCTAAACCTGGCCTAAACCTGGGCTAAACCTGGCCTAAATCTGGCCTAAACCCGGCCTAAATCCCAGCTTAAACCTGGCCTAAACCCCGGCCTAAACCTGCCCCAAATCCCAACCCAAATCCCAGCCCAAACCCTCATCACAGCCCTGGAGTGCAGTCGCGGTGAGAGGGGGATTTGCCTGATCCTGGCCTAAATCCCGGCCCAAATTCCCAATCCCAAATTCCTGATTCCCAATCCCAAATTCCCAATCCCAAATCCCGTTCCCAGGGCGGGGCCGGGGCCGCGGTGCCCGGGGCCGGGGCAAGGGGCCGGGCCGAGGCCGGGTCTGGGAATTCCCAATCCCAAATTCCCAATCCCGATCCCGTTCCCAGGGCGGGGCCGGGGCCGCGGTGCCCGGGGCCGGGGCAAGGGGCCGGGCCGAGGCCGCGGGCGCGGCCGCAGCGGGATGGGCAAGGGCGGCATCAACGACGACGACGACTTCTACGACGAGGACATGGGGGTGAGTGAGTGCTCAGAATTCCCTAAAAATCCCAAAAATCCTGCCCAGAAACGTAAAAAACCCAAAAACCTGCAAGGACATGGGGGTGAGTGCCTGAAATTCCCAAAAATCCCCAAAAATCCTGCCCAGAAACCCAAAAAACCCAAAAACCTCCAAGGACATGGGGGTGAGAGCCCAAAAATTCCCAAAAAATCCCAAAAATCCTGCCCAGAAACCAAAAAAACACAAAAACCTTTGAGGACATGGGGGTGAGCACCCCAAATTCCCAAAATTTTCCCCCAAATTTCCAGGATTTTTGCCTCAGCATCTTCTAAACTGCCTCAATTTTTAATTTTTTCCCGTTTTCCCCCATTTTCTTGCCATTTTTCCCCATTTTCTTCCCATTGTTTCCCATTTCTTCCCTTTTTTCCCCCTTTCCACCCAAAATCCCCATTTTTTCCCTATTTCTTCCCCTTTTCCCCCCACATTCCCATTTTCCCCATTTATTTTCCCATTTTCCCCCATTTTCTCCCCAAAATCCCTTGTTTCACCTGTTTCTTTTCCCATTTTTTCTCCATTTTTCCCCATGTTCCCCATTTCTTTCCCCATTTTCCCCTTTTTCCCCCCCCAAATTCCCATTTCCCCCCGTTTATTTTCCCGTTTTCCCCATTTTCCCCATTTTTTCCCCATTTCCCCCCAAAATTTCCATTTTCACCCATTTATTTTCTGTTTTCCCCATTTTTCTTCCTGTTTTCCCCATTTTCCCCCATTTCCCGCCATTTTCCCCCCATTTTTCCCCATTTTTCCCCATTTCTCCCTTATTTTCCTCATTTTTCCCCCATTTCCCCCCATTTTTCCCCTTTTTTCCCCATTTTTCCCCATATTTCCCGTTTCCCCATTTCCCCCCATTTTTTTCCCACTTTCCCCCATTTTCCCCCATTTCTCCCCACTACATGCACGATATCCTGCCTAAACCGGGCTTAAACCGGGGTTAAACCCGGCCTAAACCCGGGTTAAACCTGGGTTAAACCTGGGCTGAACCTGGGCTGAACCTGGGCTAAACCTGGGCTGAGCCTGGGCTGGACCCAGCCTGAGCCTGCCCCAAACCTGCCCTGAACCTGCCCCCGACAGCTGCCCCTACATGCACGATATCCTGCCTAAACCGGGCTTAAACCGGGGTTAAACCCGGCCTAAACCCGGGTTAAACCTGGGTTAAACCTGAGCTGAGCCTGCCCCAAACCTGCCCTGAAACTGCCCCCGACAGCTGCCCTACATGCACGATATCCTGCCTTAAACCAGGGCTAAACCCGGCCTAAACCTGGGCCAAACTGCCCTAAAGTCAGCCCTAACCTGGCCTGAAACGGCCCTTAAACCAGTCTAAACTCGGCCTTGAAAGTGCTCGGAACTGACCTCAAATGGACATAAGATCGATTTAGAACTGCCCTAGGAATTGCTTAAAACAGGCTTAAAACTGAATGGGCTTAAAACGGGCTTAGAACTGGATCAGCTTAAAACTGGCTTAGAACTGGATCGGGTTAAAACTGGGCTTAGAACTGGTTCAGGGTAAAACGGGCTTAAAGCTGGATCAGCTTAAAACACCTGGGCACACCTGGGGACACCTGGCACACACCTGGGCACACACCTGGGCACAGCTGGGCACACCTGGGCACAGCTGGATCCTCCCAGTTTAACCACTTTAACCCTTCCCTCTCCAGGTGCTGGCCAAGGACACCTCCCTCCCAGTCCATCCCAGTTTAACCCAGTCCATCCCAGTTTGCCCAGTTTAACCCATTTAACCCCTCCCTCCCCAGATGCTGGCCGAGGACGCCGAGGCGGGCGCAGCCCCTGACCCCAGTTTATCCCAGTTTAACCCAGTTCACTCCAGTCCATAGCTGGCCGAGCGGCTGGGCGTCAGGTGAGGGCACACCTGGGGGCACCTGGGCACACCTGGGGGGCTGAGAAATACACCTGGGGCACCTGGGCACACCTGGGAGGCAGGGGGACACACCTGGGGGCCCACGGGGCAGCTGGCAGAGAGGCTGGGCGTCAGGTGAGCGCACCTGGGGCACCTGGGGCACCTGGGCACACCTGGGCACACCTGGGGGCACCTGGGCACACCTGGGGGTACCTGGGGGGCTGAGAAACACACCTGGGGGTCATGGGAACACACCTGGGGGCCCACGGGGCAGCTGGCCGAGCGGCTGGGCGTCAGGTGAGCGCACCTGGGCACACCTGGGCACTGCTGGGGGCCATGGGAACACACCTGGGCACAGCTGGCACTCAGACAAGACCCACCTGTAGCCCCTCCCCCACGGATTTTCCCCCCTTTATTCCAAATTTCCCCCTTTCATTCCCGTTTTTATTTCATTTTCTCCCTTTTTCACCCCATTTTTCCCCCATTATTTTCCCCATTTTCCCTTGGGCTTAAAACTGGATCAGCTTTAAACTGGGCTTAGAACTGAGCCAGGACCGGCCTTAAACGAGCCTAAAACCAGGTTAAAGTGGGCCTTAAAAGTGGCCTAAAATCACCTTAAATTGGCCTAAAATCACCTTAAATTGGCCTAAAATTGGCTTAAAATCACCTTAAATTGGCCTAAAATCACCTTAAATTGGCCTAAAATTGGCTTAAAATCACCTTAAATTGGCTTAAAATCACCTTAAATTGGCCTTAAAGTGGCCTAAAATCACGTTAAGTTGGCCTGAAATTGGCCTAAAATCACCTTAAATTGGCCTAAAATCACCTTAAATTGGCCTAAAATCACCTTAAATTGGCCTAAAATCACCTTAAATTGGCCTAAAATCACCTTAAATTGGCCTAAAATCACCTTAAATTGGCCTAAAATCACCTTAAAGTGGCCTAAAATCACCTTAAATTGGCCTAAAATTGGCCTAGAATCACCTTAGAACTGCCTTAAGCCGAGCCCAGGCGGAGCCCAGGCCCGGGGCGGCGTTGGCATTCCTTCCGGAAGGTTCCTTGACGCCTCCCCACGGGATTTCCCGTGCAAGCTGTTCCACACCACCGGGCTCTGCATCAACGGCGACGACTGCATGTTCTCGCACGCGCCGCTCTGCGACGAGACCCGCCAGCTGCTCGACAAGGTGAGGGCACACCTGGGCACACCTGGGCACACACCTGGGGCACCTGGGTACAGCTGGGACACACCTGAGTATACCTGGGTACAGCTGGGTACAGCTGGGTACAGGTGTGACACAGCTGGGCACGCGTGTTCTCGCACGCGCCGCTCTGCGACGAGACGCGCCAGCTGCTCGACAAGGTAACGCACCTGGGCACACACCTGGGCACACCTGGCACACCTGGGGTACAGCTAAGGGCACCTGGGTACAGCTGGGCACGCGTGTTCTCGCACGCGCCGCTCTGCGACGAGACGCGCCAGCTGCTGGACAAGGTGAGGGCACACCTGGCACACCTGGGCACACACCTGGGCACACCTGGGGTACAGCTTGCCCCTCCCCCCGCCCCTGGAGCCGCTGGAGCCCCCCCCGGACCCCCTGAGGAAAATCCCCTCGCTCTTCGAGATCCGCGTGCGGCCCACGGGGCAGCTGGCAGAGAGGCTGGGCGTCAGGTGAGCGCACCTGGGCACACCTGGGCACCTGGGCACACCTGGGGTCATGGGAGCACATCTGGGGGGCTGAGAAATACACCTGGGGGGCCCACGGGGCAGCTGGCCGAGCGGCTGGGCGTCAGGTGAGCGCACCTGGGCACACCCGGGGGCACCTGGGGGTCATGGGAACACACCTGGGGCAGCTGGCAGAGCGGCTGGGCGTCAGGTGAGGGCACACCTGGGCACACCTGGGGGTCATGGGAACACACCTTGGGACACCTGGGGGCCATTTCCCCCCCATTTTTCCCCCATTTTCCCAATTTTCCCCATTTTTATCCCCAATTTCCCCCCTTTCCCCCCCATTATTTCCCCCATTTTCCCACCCCAAATTCCCCCTTTTCCACCCCAAACCCCCCCTAACCATCCCTTTCCCCTCCCCGCAGACGATTACGGCTCCTACGAGGCCGGGGAGGCTCCCGGGGGGGACGCGCTGTTCCCGGAGGGGTCCCTGGAGGCCGAGGGCCCCCCCGGCGTTCCCGGCATTCCCGGAATTCCCGGGATTCCCGGGATTCCCGAGTTCCTGCCCTCGGGGGCGCAGCGGCTCCTGCTGCGCATCCGCCACCAGCAGCGGCCCGAGGAGCGGCGCCGGGCGGCCGAGGGCGGCGACAGGGAGCACGACGAGGGTGAGGGGACAAAAGTACCGAAATCCTGACCCTGAGACCAAAAATCCTGACCCTGAGACCCAAAAATGCTGATCCTGAAACCCCAAATCCTGATCCTGAAACCCAAAAAAACCTGAGCCCAAAAATCCCCATCCCGACAGGGAGCACGACGAGGGTGAGGGGACAAAAATACCGAAATCCTGACCCTGAGACCCAAAAATCCTGATCCTGAAACCCAAAATCCTGACCCTGAGACCTAAAACTTCTGAGACCCCAAAAATCCCAACCTGAGACCTCAAAATCCCCATCCCGACAGGGAGCACGACGAGGGTGAGGGGACAAAAGTACCGAAATCCCCAGCCTGAGACCCCAAATCCTGACCCTGAGACCCAAAAATCCTGATCCTGAAACCCAAAAAAACCTGAGCCCAAAAATCCCCATCCCGACAGGGAGCACGACGAGGGTGAGGGGACAAAAATACCGAAATCCTGACCCTGAGACCCAAAATCCTGACCCTGAAACCCCAAATCCTGACCCTGAGACCCAAAATCCTGACCCTGAGACCTAAAACTTCTGAGACCCCAAAAATCCCAGCAAAAATCCTGATCCTGAGACCTAAAACTCCTGAGCCCAAAATCCCCATCCTGACAGGGAGCACGACAAGGGTGAGGAGACAAAAAAGTACCAAAATCCTGACCCTGAGACCCAAAAATCCTGATCCTGAAACCCAAAAAAACCCAGCCTCCTGAGACCCAAAAATCCTGATCCTGAGACCCCAAAAATCCTGACACTGAGCCTCCAACTGATCCCAAAATCCCCGTCCTGAGCCCCAAAATCCCCATCCCGACTGGGAGCACGACGAGGGTGAGGAGACAAAAACACCCAAAATCCGCAGCCTGAGACCCAAAAATCCTGAGCCCAAAAATCCCGGTCTTCAGTGGGGTGTGACACCCCAAATCCTGATCCCAATCCTGATCTTTGATCCCCCAATTCCCAACCCCAATTCCCAATCTCCAATTCCTTATTCCCAAATTTCTGACCCCAATCCCCAATCCCCAAATTCCCAACCTCAATTCCCAATCCCCCAATTCCCAATCCCCCAATTCTGAATCCCCAAATTCCCAATCCCCAAATCCCCGACCCCAAATTCCCGACCCCAATTCCCAACCCCCACATCCCAAACCCCGATTTCCACCACTCAACCCCTCCCGACCGGTTGTTGTTTTTTTGTTAATTTGAATGATTTCGATGACATCAAAGTCTGGGCTGGGGTGGTTAAAGCAGCTTAAAACCTGGGCAGGTGGGGTTAAATCTGCTCAAAATATGGTCTGGTGGGGTTAAAGCAGCTCAAAACCTGGGCAGGTGGGGTTAAATCTGCTCGAAGTCTGGTCTGGTGTGGTTAAATCTGCTCAAAACCTGGGCAGGTGGGGTTAAATCTGCTCAAAACCTGGCCTGGTGTGGTTAAATCTGTCCAGAATGTGGGCAGGTGTGGTTAAATCTGTCCAAAATATGGTCTGGTGTGGTTAAAGCAGCTCAAAATCTCATCTGGTGGAGTTAAATCTGCTCAAAACCTGGGTTGGTGTGGATAAATCTGTCCAAAATCTGATCTGGTGGGGTTAAATCTGTCCAAAACCTGGTCTGGTGGGGTTAAATCTGTCCAAAATCTGGTCTGGTGGGGTTAAAGCAGCTCAAAATCTGATCTGGTGGAGTTAAATCTGCTCAAAACCTGGGTTGGTGTGGATAAATCTGTCCAAAATCTGATCTGGTGGGGTTTAATCTGTCCAAAACGTGGGCAGGTGGGGTTAAATCTGCTCAAAGTCTGGTCTGGTGTGGTTAAAGCAGCTCAAAGTCTGGGCTGGTGTGGTTAAAGCAGCTCAAAATCTGATCTGGTGTGGATAAATCTGTCCAAAATGTGAGCAGGTGAGGTTAAATCTGCTCAAAATTTGGTCTGGTGGGGTTAAATGTGCTCAAAATTTGGTCCAGTGGGGTTAAATCTGTCCAAAATGTGGGCAGGCGAGGTTAAATCTGCTCAAAATTTGGTCTGGTGGGGTTAAATCTGTCCAAAATGTGGGCAGGCGAGGTTAAATCTGCTCAAAATTTGGTCTGGTGGGGTTAAATCTGTCCAAAACCTGGGCTGGTGGGGTTAAATGTGCTCAAAATTTGGTCCAGTGGGGTTAAATCTGTCCAAAATGTGGACAGGTGGGGTTAAATGTACTCAAAATCCGGTCAGGTGTGCTCAAAATCCATCTGGATCCACTCAAACCCACCCAGATCTGCTGAAATCCACCCAAAATCTGGTCAGGTGGGGTTAAATCTGCTCGAAATCCAGCCAGGTCTGCTCAAAATCCTTCTGGATCCACTCAAATCCACCTGGATCTGCTCAGAATCCACCCAAATTCACCCAAAATCCACCCAGCTCTGCAAAAATTGAATCTGGATCCACCAAAAATCCACCCAGGTCTGCTCAAAATCCATCTGGACCTGCTCAAATCCACTCAAACCCACCCAGATCTGCTGAAATCTTCAGCCAGATGTGCTGGAATCCACCCAAATTCACCCAAAATCCCCCCAGGTCTGCTCAAAATCCTTCTGGATCCACTCAAATCCACCTGAATCTGCTCAAA